CAAGGCCTGTGCTTGAGATGTGAAGCTGAAGATTATATGATTAAAAGCTGCTCATTCAAACCTCCCAGACGCCCTGTCATTCTCATGATAATTAAGGTGATCCCTGAGCTGGTACTGAATGATAATGATGTGAATATGAGTGAGAATTTGGGAAAAGAGTAGTTCCAATTAAAAGACACTGAAAGGAGTGAAATAAGAAGCTTATAAAGAAGTAATGGAGAAGATTTTGTAAAGGGTTAAGCTCTAAGAACTAGAGACTAGTCCTCTTATATAACAAGGATGAATTGCTTGAGAAAGGGAAGAAAAGAATGAGATCAGAACTCAAGCTTAAGCAAGCTCACGTAGCATGATCACATGCGCACATGTGAACAATGGCTAGGCTGAGTCAGCCAGTCAGAGCAAATCTAGAGGTTCAACCTCTTATAATACCCCTCTTCTCCCTCTTTGTTGCAGGTCTTTATGACTATTTAAAGCTCTCTTTACATCTAATTTTGCCTGTTGAGAGGCCTCTCAAGCATTCAAGGCCTTCACTTCTTGTAGGAGGCTCATGTCATTCCATATAGACTCAGCTCAACCTACTCATTTAACAAGATATTGTTTTTTCCTCTAATAGGTTCATTCACTCTGAATTTCCTCAATCTCAAACTCAGGTTCTTTCAGGATCTCTATAGTGAGTGGCTGTCAGTCAGTTTGCCTCTGACTAGGCAGGAGATCTGTCATCACAGCATGTAGAAGCTTTACATTAAAGATATTGTGAATGTCAGATGAGATATTCAGTTGATAAGCATGAAATCTTATCTTTTCTAGCACAGTATATTGATTGTATTTCATATTCAGCTTCTTGCACAGACAATTAGTTCTCATGTTCTCTAAGCTCAACCAGATCTTATCTTCAGGTTGAAAGCTTGAAGCTGAGTCTCTTCATCTATTCACATATTTCTCTTGAGATTGCTGAGCATCTGTCATTTTTACTTGAGCCCACTTCAACACTTCACAGGTCTTTCTCATATAATCATCTGCAAACTCAATAGGATTATATGACATTTCAATGAGAGGTGCATCAGCTATATCAATGAAGGAGATGTGAAAAAGATGTGTTAAAAAAAAAGAGCTCACACTCATTGAGGCAGCATCTCTATTATTGATGATTAGCTCTGCTAGAGAGAGTCATTCACACCAGTCATTCTATGGAAAGTTAATGTACTTGTGTAAGTAGATTTTCAGAATCTGATTCATTCACTCTGTAGCTTCATCAGTCTCTGAGTGATAGACTGTGAAGAGTCATCTCTTAATGCTTAATTTCTCACACATCTGAGTTCAAAACATGCTTGTGAAAGTTGACTCTCAATCTGACACTACTGCCTTAGAAATGTCATGTTGAGAGATGATGTTGTGAAGGAATACTCTAGTCACTGTCTCCACATCAGTTTTCTTAACTGCTTTTAATATAACCCCCTTGGTCAGTTTGTCTGTTATAATCATGATGTTTGTGTATTCTTTAGAGCTTGATAAGTCTACAATAAAGTTCATGAAAAGCTCCTGCCACATGCATTCAGAAATGAGAAGAGGCTTAAGCAGTCTCTGATGTTGATCTCTTCATGCAGTGTTTGATCTGCAAAGATAACAATTCCTGATCATTCTTCTTACATCAGTGGCATAGTCTAGCCAGTAGAACTCATGTCTTAGAACTTCTGTCATTTACTCTCACCTGGGATGGCTGGTAAGAGGTGAGTCATGAGTCTCATGCACTAACCTGGTTCAGAGAGGTTTGAAGTCTGACACTCACTTACAATCTCAAAAGAGAAGCTCTCTGTTCTCATTTAAAGAGCACTCAGAGACAGAGGCCTTAATGCTGAGTTCAGAAGGAAATCTGAATCTTCTCTCATGAAGAGTTTACTTCAGATACTGCAGAATTTTGTCATTTTTATAAGTCTCATTTCACTGAGCTTGAAGAGATATCTTGTTAGGGAGCGAATGCGAGCTGCATAAGAAGAAAGACTCTCTGCGTTGCTAACTGCTATATAACGAAATACTAAGCTTGATGGGATGAAAGGGGGTGCTGGGGGCCTGCGTGGATTATAACCACCTGCATGGTCGTGTGGTCACGTGATATGGATTAGGCCTAATCGGGCGCCGAGCTTAATCCGACGTCGAGTCTAACCGGGCACCGGCCTTCGGTCGGGCTCGGTCGGACGCTGAGCCTAACATCACCCCCCGGTCTAGGGGCAGGCATGTCCTCATGCCGGTAGGTCGTCATCAACCTCGTCCTTCAGGTAGCTGTCTGTCTCCCATGCCTTCAGCCACTCATCTAGTCGCCTTGGGGGTCCAGCTTTTGTAGGGTTAGCCTCATGGAAGTCGCGTATGGCGTGTGGTGATCCTTTGAAGTCGCGAGCGGGGTACCATGAAGAATCCTCATCAAACCCCTTCCAGCGCACCCAATACTGCAGCTTGCTCCGGCTTATTCTACTGGCCAGTATACGATCTATTTCCCATTCATTCTCACCATCTATTTCAATTGGGTCTGGTGGTCTGATAGTCTGGCCAGGTAGAGGGTCTCTGGAGTCCTTGCATAGCTTGTCTGGGGAGAAGATTGAATGAATTTTCATTGTTATGGGGAGGTCCAGTTTGTAGGCATTGCCCACCTTTTCCAGGATTCTGAAGGGGCCGGCATTCTGCTCTGCCAGTTTACGGCTTGGTCGATCCATCTTGTATGATTTCAATGTTAGATAAACAAAATCTCCTACTGCAAAGTCAGGCTCTCAATGGTGCTTGTCAGTCTGCCTCTTCATCTGTTCCTGTGCTGTCTTTATGCCTTTACTCGCCTGGTTCCAGATCTCTCTCATTCGGTGAATGAAGCTCCTTGCTGCTTCTCGATTTCTTTTCTCATTCATGTCCAATTTCTCCGCCAGTGGTTGCCAGTCAAATGACATTCAGGGTTCATATCCATTTGCTGCGAGGAAGGGGGAGATCCCTGTGGAAGTGTTTGGGGTAGCTGCGGAGGCATGGTCTATAATGGGCAGCCACTCATCCCAGTCGTCTTGGTAGTAACTGACATAGGGGCGAAGACGGGTGGCAATGTATTGATTCACCACTTCTGTCTGTCCATCAGTTTGTGCATGATGCGCCGTTGAGAGTTTCAGTTTTATGCCCAGGATCTGTGTAAACTCATCCCAAAAGCTTGATATGAACTGGGGGCCTCGGTCAGAGACAATTGAGTCAGGCGCCCCATTGTATGAATAGTAGAATCGAATGAATAGTCGGGCCAGCTCCTGGGCTGTAACTCCCCGGGTGGTTGGAATGGAGATTGTCTTCTTGCTTAGCCAGCATACTATGACCAAAATGGCATCATAACCTGTTTTGCTTTTCGGCACGTCCATGAAGTCCATTGCAATATGCTGCCATGCCTGTTCTGGTATTGGTAATGGCTTTAGCAAACCAGGAGTCTTATCTCTTGGAATTTTACTGATCCAGCACACATGGCAGTTCCGAATATAGCGTAGGACGTCTGTCTGCCAGGTGGCCCACCAATAGCGTGATTGCACCAGGGCCAGGGTCTTTCGTCCTCCAGGGTGTGCTGTTGAAGCTTGATCATGAATTTCCTGCAGTAGCTTGGCTATCAGGGTTTCCTTTTCCTGAACAGGCACCACTAGTCTTCCATTGTACCGTAGCACATTGTCCTCCATTGTATAGGGACTATTCTCATCATCTGCCTGCTGCCGCAGGGGCTCAATTGAGGTGGCTGTCTTGTTTAGAGACACTATGCATTCAGCAATGCTCTCTTTCTCTGAGGAGTTGATGCTAGCAATGTCTGTAGAGGGAGTGATCTGGGGGTCGAGGGTCTCTGGTCCTAGGAGAATCTGCATACGGCCGTCCTGTTGCCTTCTAACCTGCTCAGGCCTGCTCAGTGCGTCTGCTAGCAGGTTGGCCTTGCCTGGTCGATACTTGATCTCAAAGTAGAAACGGGAGAGGAACTCTGCCCAGCGGGCTTGACGTGCATTCAGCTTCTTGGTAGTCATGAAGTATTCCAGTGCACGATGATCAGTGAGGATCTTGAATTGTTCCTCCCGTTGTAGTCCCTCAAGCTCTGCCCGCCATTCTTGTAAGGCCCGGACTACTGCCAGCATTTCCTTATCATGAACTTCATAATTAAGCTCTGCACCATTCATTGTCTTTGAATAGAAGGCTACTGGGTGCCAAAGGTCATTTTCAAATCTTTGACTTAGTACCCCAGCCACTACTCCGTCAGAGGCGTCAGTCTCAATACGAGTCTCCCGCTCAGGGTCATAGTAACGCAGTGTTGGAGCCTCCACCAGCTGCCTCTTCAGTTTTTCAAAGGCTGATTTGCATTCTGATGTCCACACAAATGGGGTAGTCTTCTTTGTCAATTGGTACAGTGGCTTTGCGATTCGGCTGTAGTTCCTTATGAATCGTCGGTAGAAATTGCCAAATCCTAGGAATGACTGGACTCCTTTGACTGTGGTGGGGGCCTGCCATCTCACAATGGCAGCTGTCTTCTCTGGGTCTGCCTCAATCCCTTCTGTACTGATGATGAACCCTAGGTATTTTGTCCTCTGGACTGCAAACTCACATTTCTGGATGCTGGCTTGCAAACCCGCTGTCTTTAGTTGGTCTAGCACTGAGTTTACCTGCTGCTTGTGCTCCTCCAGATTCTTGCTATAGATTAGAAGATCATCCATGAATGCTGTCATAAACTTGTCCAGGTAGTCAAAGAAGATACTGTTAACAAACCGTTGAAAGCAGGCAGGGGCGTTTGTAAGGCCAAAGGGGACCACCCGATATTTATAGGTCCCGTAGCGGGTTCTAAAGGTGGTCAGGTCCTCAGACTCAGGGTCCATTCGGATGCGATGGAACCCCTGCCGAATGTCCAACTTTGTAAAGTATTTCGCCCCATTGAGTCGGTCCATCAGCTCATCTATCAGGGGCAAGGGATACTGATCTCGTTTGGTTATAGCATTCAGCTTGCGAAAGTCAACACAGAATCATAGCTTCTTCCCACTACGGGCAATCAGGATTGGGGAGGCGTAGGGGGCTGAACTTGGGGTGATGAAACCCTTTGCTAGGTTGGCTTCAAGGTAGGTCTTCACTGCCTCTAGTTCCTCTAGATTCATCTTATATAGAGGCGCATGTCCAATGCCCTGGGTGAGGTCAACATCAGGCTGGAGCTCTATTTTAAAATCAACATTCTTCCATAGGGGGGGCAGTTCATCTGATGCTTTCTTTGAGAAGCAGTCCTCCCGGCCTTTCAACCATTCTGGTAAGTTGCTGATCAGCTCCTCATCAGACTCATCCTCAGCTCCCACTAAACCCCGCTTCTCCTCAAGCTGTTTATCAATTTCATACAGACTGGTTATGAAGACTGTTGACTTCTTGTTCTTCATATAACCATGGAAGGAAGCAGCCCCAATGAAGTTCATATCCATCATCTGTGGTGCTGTCTCCTCCCAGGTCAGCCCCTGCCTCGTCTCAGGCATCACGACTGAGCTGATCCCTTTCAATCTGCGGAGCTGAGCCTGATGCTCCTGTCTGATCTCCTCATCCAGCTTGATCTCTCTTCGTTCCACATCCGCCTGATGCTCAGGCTTGGGGTCTGGGCGCTTCAGTACTGACCAGGGTACTATCTTCAACATCAGCTCCGCCACCTGTTCAGGGATAGACCGTTCACTCGGCCAAACCAGGCATTGGTTTTTAACATCAAGCCATATATCCTGTGCTGCCAACCACTTCCGTCCCAGGATGACAGGGTGCTGGCCTAGGTCTGTTACCAGCAGAGGGACATTCTGAAATCTCCGGCCATCCACCCAGAGGTTTAGGGTCAATGTGCGGTCTATCACCCCGCCGGGGGCGCCATTGTATCCCTTCATGCGGCATTTGAATGGGAGTTCTTGAAACTTCCTATCAAAGAATCTTGCCAATTCTATGGCATATCGGGTATCAATAAAATTCGCTCCATTTGCTCCAGTATCAGCAAGAGAATTTGTAGAAGTAGCAATTCCATTGTAGGCTAATTTGATTGGCACATTAAAGCTTTTCCCCCCAATCAAGTCCTTCATCTCAAACCTCTCACAGACTATTGAACTACCTGAGGTGGAGTCTTCTCTCAGGCTCACTCTTTTCCCAAATCTGCTGAAGGCTCAGGGGCATCATTCCCTGTGAGCTCAGCAATCACCTGCTGGGACTTCTGCTTTGCAGGGCAGTTCCTGGCAATGTGGCCTTTTTCCTTACAGTAGTAGCACTGAATATCCGGACGAGAGCTCAAGGCCTCCTTCACAGTAGGGGATTTTGTTGTAGAGATGCTGGGGGGTGTTTGACTGTTGGCGGTCCGCAGGGTGTTCTGCTTGAAGGTATTAGGCCCATTTCCCCGCGAGCTCTTTGATTTCTGGGTGGCATTGATTGTCTGGAGGGTGTGAGCTGCCTGCGCACAGATTTTCTGAAACTCAGCATATGTATCAGTGGTCGCATTGGCTACTGCTACCATCTTCTGGAGGTCAAAGGACAGCTTGTCATTGAAGTCTGTCTTGTAGTCCCCCCTGGCAATCTTGGCCTCACCTGCCAGGTGTAAGAATTTTGTGACAAATTCATGATAATTGTCCCCATTGCGCATAATCAGCTTGCGATAATCACTCTTGGCATTTTGCAGCTTGTTAGCATCCTCATATATTGACTTGAGGTGCTCAAATATCTCTTCTGCAGTCTGATATCGCTCGGGGTGGTCCTCTTCCATACAGGGCGCAATGTGACGTGCCGCGTCCCCATCAGTCCGGTTTTCGATGTATGCAATCCTCATGCGTTCAGTAGGGTAGTGGTCAGCGTTCTCCCGGAGCTTGTTCTTCATCCGGGAGAGCCAGTGTTCAAATTTTGGCTCCTTGCCGTCAGTGAGGTGTTTTGGGTCATCAATCTTGACAGACCTCCGGGTAGTCTCAGAGGGGGTGACACCTCGACTTGCTGCTTGGTTGCTGACTGTCATGCGGACCAGGGTGTGGCTAAGTTCATCGCGTTCAGCAATTAGCTCATCAATCTGGCTTTGCTTGACAGCGGCCTGGTCAGTGGCGTTGTTCCGTTCCATCCTCAGACGTGTGATTGTATCCCTTAGTGTTTTTTCATCGTCAAAGATGCCATCGAAGATCGCCGCCAACTCATTATAAACACGGTCGCTGTCCGAGTGGATTGCCTCTCTGAATTCCTCAATTGAGACGCGTGGTTGGTCAGTTGGTCTTGTTAGGAGGTATCACCAGTCCTTTCGGCCCCTTCCAGGGGGTTGGGAGCCTGTGGTGGCCATCTGATGTTGGATTGAGCCGTTGTCTTCAACAGTGCTGTTGTCTTAGCAGTTGATCTGACGCGTTGTCAGGCTCTGAACTAGCAGGTTCTAATTCAACTGAGGCACTCAAGTTTTCTGCTGAAACCTGAGTGAGAAGGTAGAAGGAAAGCTTAGTATTGTGTTAGGGAGCGAATGCGAGCTGCATAAGAAGAAAGACTCTCTGCGTTGCTAACTGCTATATAACGAAATACTAAGCTTGATGGGATGAAAGGGGGTGCTGGGGGCCTGCGTGGATTATAACCACCTGCATGGTCGTGTGGTCACGTGATATGGATTAGGCCTAATCGGGCGCCGAGCTTAATCCGACGTCGAGTCTAACCGGGCACCGGCCTTCGGTCGGGCTCGGTCGGACGCTGAGCCTAACATATCTCAGATTTCACACTGGCAGCAGTCACTATTGATTCCATTCCAGGTACCAGTACATTAAACTTAAGTAGTTGAGCTTGTCTCTGCTTGATTCTCTCATCATCAGTGCTCTGTGACATATTCTGCTCTCTTCATGATAGAGTATCTGATTCAGCATTCAACTTCTCTGGCTGGTAATCAATTCTGAAGTTAAATCAATAGAGAATATTCATCCAACATAGCTGTCTTTCATTTAGTCTGCATGTAGTCATGAAGTATTCTAGATTCTTATGATCTGTGAGAATCTTGAATTTCTTTACACTTCATAGCTCAGCATTTCATTCCTTTAAACACTCAATTATCACTAATAACTTCTTATCATGAATCTTATAGTTGCATTCTGCAGGTGAATGCTTGCAAGAGAAGAAGGCACATGAGTGTAGAATGCTCTGCTCATCATATTGTAGCAGCACTCCTCTTGAGACATAATCTGAGGAGTTCATTTTCAATATAGTCTCATGATCAAAGTCAAATTAAAACAGGATTAGAGCAGAGATAAACATTGATTTTAGATATTTAAAAGCTTCCTCAGCCTTGCTCATCCATAAAAAAGAAACATTCTTGCATGTAAGAATCATCAGTGAGATTACAATCTTTGAGAAATCTCTGATAAATCATCTATAGAAATTGACAAAGTCTAAAAATCCTCATACACCTTTAAGAGTAGTAGGTATCATTCATTTCAAAACAGCTTTAACCTTCTCTGAATTCATTTGTATATCCTTGCTCACTTCAATGATGAATTCAAGATATTTTGTGCTGTTCATCTTGAACTCACTCTTTCTGATGTCTGTCTGCAGGCCTGCTTTCTATAGATGCATAAGCACCTTTTGTACATGCTCATGATGCTCTTATAAGCTTCTTGAGAAAAATATCAAGATGTCATCTAAATAGACTGAGCAGAAGTTGTTCAGATATCTATGTAATGCCCAGTTCATATATTTTTGAAATGTGCTCAGAGTATTGGTCAGATCAAAGGGTGTAACCAGCCACTCAAATAGCCTGTATCTGATTCTAAAGACTGTCATCTACTCATCACCTTCTGTGATTCAAATCTTGTGAAAAGCTGCAATAATGTCTAACTTAGTGAATTATTTAGCCTGTCCAATTCACTATAGAGTCTCACTAATTAATGGTAGAGGATATCAATCCTTTCAGATGATTTTGTTAAGAGCTTGATAGTTCACACAGAATCTTAGTCCACCTCTAGACTTCTTCATGAATAGTATGAGGGTGGCTGCAAGGGAGTTGCTTATTCTAATAAAACTCTTATCCAGATAATCTGTAAGAGTCTTTCACAAAGCCAGTAGTTCCTCTCAAGATATATTATATAATGAGTCCCAATGGGGTTGTTCCACACTATCATCAGCCTTTATAATCAGTTCAATCTCATGATCTCTACCTGAGTCATGAAGTGGGAGTAGAGTGTCAACAGCTTCCTTATCAAATACATTCAAAAACTCATGATAATGTTCAGGCAGCTTTTCTCTATGGTCAATCTTTGATTTCACTTCTAGAGTCTTTTGAATGTCAGTCAAACTGACAGTGAAGATCTCAATATTTCACTTCTCTCAAGTGCTCACAAGCCTAGAGAAGCTTACAGCAGAGATGAGAATCACATCAGCTTTTGCATTTGAACTAGACTCTACCTCTATGCCACTCTCTTCAAATCTCACAATTCTTTGATGAGAGATCACAGTCACCTTTTGCTGGGCCAGCCAGGGGTCATCTAGATATATATCATGACTATGTAACTTATTCACCACATAGAGAAAGGCCTATTCAGTTATGTGACCATCTATATCAATTCAAATGCCAGTTACTATACTTGTGGAGAGTCTCATAGAGTCTTCAAAGCCAGTCATTTTAACAGTGGGAATTTCAATGCACAGAAGCTTATACTTGTTAACATAGAATTGAGAAATAAGATCATAGACATTACATTCACTATCTATCATTGCTCTAGTTGAAAAGGCATTATCTATTAGAGCATTGACAATAAAGGGTTTGAATATCATCTTAGATTTAAATCTTCTTCATTGCTTTCTTATAAGCTTCTTATTTCACTTCTTTCAGTGTCTTTTGGTTGAAGCTACTTTTTTCCCAAATCCTCACTCATATCCACATTGTTGTTGTCCAGTACCAGCTCAGGGATCACCTTAGCTATCATGAGGGTGGCAGAGCATCTGGAAGGTTTGAATGAGCAGCTCTTAATCATATGACCTCTAGCTTCACATCTCAGGCATAGGCCTTGCTCTCTTCATTGATTAACCTCTGTCTGATTTATCAATTTGATGTGGCAGATGCTTAGAGTCACAGCACCAGGAAAGAGATTCATCAGATCATCAGTGGAAGTTTGAGACTGGTTTCATCAGTCAAGAACAGCATGACAAAGTAGAGAGTGTAAATTAGATATCATATGATCTGAAGAAGATCTGCTCTCACAATGTTTAGATCACTGCCTTAAAGTCTTAAGCTCAGAGAGTTGATGATCAACTAATCTAAGCTCCTTGCAGTAATTCTCATAGAGAGACAGTTCTCTTACACTCATCATGCCTTCTCTCAGCTCCATGCTTAGAGCAGATTTCAAATACCTCTTTTTAATGTGATCATCTTATCCATGACCATCAGCTTCCAGCAGTAGCTGATTAAATTCAGGCAGAAAGTCAAAGAGAGCTCTTCTACCCTGCTGTAGATTGTTGAGCTTTTGCATAATCTTTTTCTGTCATGCAGAATCACTAAAGAGCATGTGTGTCTGCTTCAGTAAGCTCTTTACTGTGAAGTTGATCTTGTCTTTATTATTCTCAACTCAGAGATAAACTCAAGCTGCTGCCATTTCTTCCAGTCTTGAGTACACATACCAAGCACATTCCTCATTATTACCTAAAGCTTTCTCATCAATCTTAAGTTTTGATTGAAGCTTTAGCTCTCACTGAGGGTAGTGCTCCAGATTAGAATCATCATACTTCTCATAGTTCAATAGCTTAATCTTTGATCTTCTGACTGCAATGAGTAGTTGTGAGTTTGATTGAGAGAGAATTGATATTAAGATGTTCAAAGCTTGTCATAGATTAGCTATTTCAGCTTGCTGAGCTGCTATTAAATCTCTGTTCCCACACTGAACCTGTTTCTGCTGTTGCAGAAAGATCATTCATTGTTGTTCAAAGCTGCTGAAGATATTTCTGCTCATTGCTTCACATTGATTCATTTGTGTATTTGTTGTACAAGTCTGCTGCTTTATCTCATTCAGCTAGACATTTTCAATGTTGCTTGTTTGTTTGTTAGCACAATTGCTAACTCAGTCTATTCATATACCAGTGCTATCACTGA